AACAAGTAATTTCCTTTTGCCTACACTTTTAAAATAATCTAAGCTTTCTTGTGTTACTTTAATAAGGAGTTATTTGCACGTAATTCAGTTTTATTTTTTGCAGAGTTGAGTGTAAGTTTTTGAACTTCTTTGTCTGGATGATTTTTGATAGTACTGGTGAGAATCACAAATCATTAAAAAAAAAAAAAAGAATTCTGTGTCTGCAGGGCTTTTATAGTGAGAATGGTCGTGATATCTGTTAGTTAAGACCAACAGTCAGCTAGCTGTTTACCGTGAATTCAGTTTATGCAGAGCTGAACTCTTAAAGTGTCAGTAGATAGAGTTGGTACATCCGTCTGAAAGATGTCTTTCCTCCTATACTTCATGTAAAACTGCTTTTCCCAGTGGCAATTAGTTTGACATTTTGTAACCTGCTCTCTCAGTTAAACTGTGCCTGCCCCCCCATCAGTTGTTTGCTAAAAGCTGTGTGATGTGTTGTGATAATTAACCTTTGTGTATGAATGTATAATTAATTTTATACAGAATAAATATGCTGAGTGTTTTAGAGGGGCACTAATGAACTTTTCATTTAAGGACAAGGCTCACTTTTTCCTTTAGACAGACAGTCTTAATGTCTGGAACTTTTTTCATAGCTAGACAGTATGAGGAAATCCAATGAGATGCTATTTCTCTCATCTATAAATGAGAGAAAACCTTTGCAGGTAAGCAGTCTGAATAGCAGCATGAGAAGGTGGTTCATGGATTGAAGCCTCATTTTCAGTGATTAGTTCCCTATTTTTACAACGTTATATAGCACATGAAGCTATGTTCAAAAAGACATTGAGGATTACCTGCAGTGGGTCTGCTGCCCAACAGTTCTGACAAAAATCTGATCCCGTATTTCAGTAACAGAAGTTTCATTGTGTTGCACACTGAACTGGACTAAGGGAGGCTAAGAACTGACAAGATTCTCTCTCCTGCATCTTTGCAATGTAGCTAAGAGAGATTCCTGTTTCACAGGTATAAAACTGAGGCACAAAGACGGCGTCAGTGAATTTACTTCTTACATCTGTGCCAAGCTTTAAGACTATAAGCATCTACAAATGCCTTCATGTTTATGTGCTTAGGTATCTAGCGAGTCTGGGTAATTAATGCATGAGTCAAAACTCCTGGCTGATTTCAAGAGATTGTATCAATCCATGAATGAATTTCCATAATAGAAGGAACTCTGTGGCACAAACTACTAGCCTGGTGTCCAACTGCTGTCCATGGATATGTCTGCCTTCTTAGTATGACCAAAAAATTCCAGCTACAGATTTTCTGTCCCATGTGATTACGGATCACATCGTATCTCTATTTTGCGTATCATGAGAGATGGATTCACTCAAAGCTGAGCACTGCAGGTGTTTAGCAGTGACAAACTAAATTATTTTTTGAAAAGGAGAATAAAAAGGTATTTTGAAAAATAATGCAAATTATGCAAAATGCAAAAATAAGACATTGTACCTGAAAAGTGGTGTCTCTAAAAACTGTCCTCCTGGCTATTTTTTAGTCAGATACCTCATCAACTGTTTGTCATTTAAAGTGGAATTGGCATTGTTTCCCTGAAAGCCATTTTTAAAAAATCCAACTTCTATAGATTTTGTATTTCAGTTTCTTAAAAGGATACAGTATTGCAGCATTGTTATGTATCTGTAAAATTAAGAGAATTGCGCTGTAAGAAATGTTCATATTGCAAGTTATTTTCTTATAGTTGGGTGTGTTATGAGAACAAGATAGAACCATGCTTAAGCTAATGTACTAATTACCTTGGGGCTATTTATCTGCAGAAAATGAAGTCTAAAAGACCGACTAAGTAGATCTTTAATTTCTTGTAGTTCATCTTTACTTCATTTAGTTAAAAGTTGCATTTGGTTTACTTTTGTTTTGTAAAATTTTTCTTACAGTTGTTTTCTGAGGGGCAGATCGTGCTTTCCTTTGTTTAAAATGATTAACTGAAATGCAGAAAAAAAAAATAGCATTTTGCTTTTTATTAAAAGAGAACCATGAAAAGTAAAGCATTGAATGATTGATGAGGAGAAAACCAGGCATATTTCTGAGCATCTACTAATGTTTTTCAGTAAAATTAATGTTTAGGATTAGATTGGCTATAAGAAAATTACAAGCGGCGCTGCAAATAAATTGGATACAGTGGTATGTCATACGAGCCATTCGAAAAAATAGCCTAGCACTTCTCAAAAGCTGTAATTGGTATGTTGGTGGTGGTGAGGGAAAGTAACACTTGTAAAGCAGAACCTGAGAACCTTATCAGATGCAACACTGAAAGTGTTAAAAGTTAAACTCCCCCATTCTGTTTGTGTCCTGGAATTTGCTGTATAAAAAATGAATATTATGGCAACTTTGATACCTGTTCAGTTTGAATGTCTTACATATCTGTCTCAAATTCAACACTATAAAACATTAACATAGAGATGTTAACAGAAATTGTGTTGTAGTTTTAAAGCTGTCTGCTATGTTAAAAATCCTATAGTATAAGGTACAGGCATGAATAACTGAGTACAGACAGTTCAAGGAAGACAGGGTTTTTTTTGGTAATTACTGGTTTGAAAGAAGACCTCTGGAAAGAAGATCTGTTTATTTTATGTGGTCCTCCTATACTGATTCGCTCAGCACATTCAAAGGAAGTAAACAAAATTTTTATTCCTGAAATCAACTTTTCAGTGATTTCTACAGCACCACTTGACTGCCTTCATGATTTGATCTGTTTAGGTTACTTTTCTTCCTGTTTAAGTTACAGTATCCTGCCATTTACATGGAAAATGAGGAATGAAGCGTTTTTTGTAAGTGCAGTTTGGCAGAGACCACTTATCTTCTGGAAACCTCTCTATCTGCTATTGTTGCAGTAATATTTAATATTGCAAATACTACGTTGTATGTGCTTGGAATCTTTTGGTATATATATTCCTGCGATCGTATCCTATTTACGTCTACTGCCATTACAAAATACTGCTTGGCAATATTTCAGATTTGCCTTTATCAAGAGTTACGACAACATTTTGTAGTTACCATTGTTCGTTTACTTTTATTTCATGTAAGAGGTGTAGTATTGCAGTTTTTTTAATCTTTTTGCAAACTTGATTGAGGACAGTGATGTGTTTCGGTTGAATACTTGTTCTGTGCTTTTTTTGTGAGAAGTATGCCCTGCCTGAGTATTGGGTTTTGCCATACTGCTACAATTCCAGGATACGATGTCTTGAAACAGTTAACTAACATTAAAGATATTTAAAAACTATGTATTAACAGATTGAAGTGCTCAGAGATTATTTATAAAATGTAGAACCTCACCCACAATGTGTCTGTCACAGATGGAAAAAATGAATGTATTGACAAGTGTGTAGTCCATTGAATAAGTTCATAGACCTAAAAATCCTAACCAAGATTGCCAGAAATTAACAGTTTGTTTCCAGTACTGGATGTGAATTATCTTAAAAGCGTAAGTCACATCAGGCAGACAATTCTTTTTTGCCTGTGTATCAGGAGAAAGTAATTTACTTTGTTTTTCTGAGAATGTGACTGTGAAATTTGTTCCTGAAACATTAGGCAGACAACATGGTGCAGTTTTAACTTGTGTATTTGGTAGGGATAAATATATACCACATTCTCATTTCCTTCTAGAATGAATATGCCAGAGAAACTTGCCATATATGATCAGATTTCAGAAAAGCCGGTGCTTGGCTTGCAGTCTGCTTCCAGACTCTTAAGCCTACAGGTTATTTCATGTCTTGATGATACTATGCGTGTTTAGACTGGCTATTTTCATTAAGTCATAAGAAATAACACAGACTAAAGTGATCTGTGTGCTCAGAGAGGTGCCTATGCAGCCTAGATTTTCAAAGAAAACGGAACAGCTGTATTTGAGAACAGGTTTTTATTCTTGTAGTAGCTCATAAAAGTACTGGCATCTGAATAAACGTTGGAGTTTTTCTCATGTTCACTGAAGGAAGAACGTACTCTTATTCTAAAATACCAAAGAAGAATAACGATTCTAACTTTGCTGACATAGTATGTTTGTGTCCCCAGATGTGTTGGCCACATCCCATAGGTAAATCTTCTTATACTGGTAGAATATGTGTTGCCTGCCTAATCAGCCTCTCTTGGGTTCTTATTTTGATGTAGAAGTTATTGGTGTAGTAGTCAAGCCAAGCTTTAGGCTTCCCTATGAACGTGAATCATTGTAGCGTCTTCACGCTCCACTGTTCTTCCAGGCAGTACAAATGCCATACTCTTTTGATAATGAATACAGGGCAAATTATACAGGGAATTACCAAAATGCAGGGTATTATCAATGAACCCATCACCATTTTTTCAACCATGTGCGTGTACACACATTGCTCTGTTCAGACAAATGGAGTTGGGAAATCATGATGTAGTATATAGTGACTTTCTTGTGCTGTAGCCTTATACATTATTTTATAAGAGAATATAACTAGTCAACATACACAGCAATTTCAGTACTATGATTCGTGTTAACAATACAGATAAGGTAGTGGCTGAGAGCAAGAGGTGAAAAAAATGATTAAATGTAGTAGCACTTTTTCATAATGATTTTTGTTTTGGGGGCATAGAATACATATTGGATAGAATTTAATTGCTAAATCTGGTTAAGTGTAAAATTAATTTTAATATGGCTTACATGAAACAATAACTTTGATATAGTTGAGAAGCAATTTAGAGAAACCAGTGGTTACTTAGATTATGGTTTCAAGTTTATAATCACATTTTCGTAAAGTTCTTTGATACTGCACCTCCTAAGAATGCCTCCTTAAATTGAAATGCTGATGTTAAGGGAAGATATTTATTTTAATGATGCTGCATTATGGAATTTAAGTGGATAACTGCTGATTGTTAAGTACTGTGTGTGTGTTTAAAATGTACAATGTCTCTTTTAAACATAGTACAAGAAATACACAGAGAAAAACATTGTGAGTAATAAGTGTTTTGTCCCATCTACCTTTTGACAGGAGAATTAGATGACAGAGAACAGGCAAAGCTGGAAGTAAAAGTATGGGATCCAGATAGCCCCCTTACTGACCGTCAGATTGACCAGTTTTTAGTTGTAGCACGGTAAGATTAAAATCCTCTAATAAAAAAAATTCCTTTTCCTTTTCCTACTGACTATTTATTCCCCTATATCGTGTTACTCAACTTGTTTGCCATTTTGTGAGCCCTTCTCTTTCCCACAGTTAGCTAAAAGAGAAAAACAGACCATAGTCTTCTGCATATTTATTGAAGCTACCAATACAGAAGAGAGAAAAAGAGAGCGAGTTTTGGAATAATGCTACACTGCCTGTATTTCAGGTTATAGTAGAATTTGATACTTTAAATGTAGACATCAGTCTGTTCTCCCCTCAGAGTAAATGAAACAGGATTTCAGTGCTAATATTTCAGTCTTGTATTGTAGTACTTGGAATTTCGTAGCGTAATATAAAGTTAAGAGTAGAAATAAAGAAAATGTTAACAAATGACATGGATGCAGAACTTGCCCAATTTCCATGTAAGCTGAAAAATATGCAGTGCAATTATTTTGTATGAAGGTTGAAGTAAAAGTTTTGAAGTGATGCATTTCATTAGTGAAAAAAATCTGGTTAGTTCATTTTAGAAATTAACATATGATTATGCAGATTTATGAGAGGAACATCAAAGCCCTTGGAATTCAGAAATACCTTTAAAAATAGTTTCTCTAAAAAAAAAACAAAACCCAAAACAACCAACTTTCAAAACTCTATAGACTTCTTACTGAAGGAAGTCTCTACACTCATAAGATACAGCATGTTTCGCCTGTCCTGTAATTCATCCTTACAAATATAGTGCAAAGGTACTGTTCTAATGATGACAGAGAACTCTTAAACACAGATAATGTAGGGATTTTATCCTGAATAGCTCCATCTCCTGTATTTCTGTAACCTGGTTGCAGAGCGTAGTCTCAGATCTTCATAGGCAAATAATCCTTTTACATTGTTTCCAGTTTCTGTTCTTTATTCTTTCTTCCTTTTTAACGAAGCGTTTCAGGAAGGAAATAAAGAGAAGTTGCTTTGTATTTTCCAGCTTCTGTGTATAGTGAAATGGGTTGCCGATACATTGTTTTACAGTTCAGTGCTGATCCACTTGGGTTTCTTCTGTCTCCCCCACTTTGTAGCGCTGTATCCTTTCTATAGAGTAGTAAAAATTGCCTGCCTGTGTAGAATTTCCAACCAAACCAGAGGGATGTAGGTGTGAACATGCATCTGTTGAGAAGATCACAATGCCTTCTGGATGCTCCACAGGTAGAACAGAACCCAGAAAACAGAACTAATTCTGTCACCAGCAATATAATACCTGGCTATGTATGGGCAGACTGTTGTGGGGAGCCTTAAAAATACCATCTGTGTGAAGATTACATTGAAGAGTTCATTCATTGCTTTCACATCCCTCTACTGCCCATTTTGCAGCCACTCTGGGGAGCTGAAGTAGTATACTGTGAAGCTGAAAACAATCCCAGAGGAGTGTAAGCAGTCTACTGGGAAGTGACAGAGAATAAATGTCAGAGAATAAAAGAAATGTTTAGCGAAAACGATTCTTTTCTCTTTGCCCCGTTATTTAAAATGTAATGCTGTGCCCTGGCCGAGATTGCATTTGTTTACAAGCTGATAAATTTCTGTTAAAAAGGTTTCTCTTACAGAGGGAGTGGGTCTTGGACGTAGCTGACTAATTGTAGCTATCCAAGTTCTTGTGGTAGGCAATCATTAATAGCCATCTGTACTCAGGTGTTACTCAGGTACCACTTATTGATGTTCTTCCACAAAACTCCATTCATCTTTGTAAGCTGCTTTTGAACTGACAGAGACTATTTCCAAGTTCCTATATACCTGTATTCACAGGCTGCAAGATCACATTTCTGTTGCCTTAAGTGCTGCTGAGGCAGATTTTCACCAATTTCTGGAGAAACAGTTCTCCTGTGATGATTGTGGCAGCTTTAAATTCAGTATGTTGCTTGCTTGCACATAAAGGCTTTCTTTATACTGGACTATTAAAAGCTGCTTGAGTAACAGTGCAGTTGATATTGTGATCTGTTAAACTGTGTGTACAGACTCGGAAGATGTTTCTGCTGTGGCATAACTGCAGTTTATTGTGTGTTGGCTGTGCCTACTGAGTTTCCAGTGAGAATGATATTTCTCTGGTTTCTGGAAGTTATGTTTAGTTTTGCAAATTTGAAATTCTGACAATTAGAACTTTTCCCTAAATGTTTTCCTATATGTGATTTTGGTTAAGTGTGTATGGTATCTGTATTTGAAATTTGAAAAGCATTTTCACGTGATCCTTTTTACGTGGTGCATCAAAGGCATCGAGTATTTCTTCTCAATTTTTTCAGTCTGCTCTGGCTGAAAGGAAAGTTGCTTTTGTCCTTGTAGGCTTTCTCAATCACACAGGTGTGCTTTGTTGGTTCTTTAGAAGGTGTTTAAACACTCTCTTTTTGTTATTTGTATTGCCCATATGCAAGTACCTTGATATGTGACATAGGACATGTAGCTTTCCCAGTCTTAGAAGGTTCGTTTATTGTCTCAGGAACAAGAGGCCTTTTTTCTAGGTATTTATGCTTAGTCGGTCTGGGCCTGTCACTAAGCCCTAGTATGCAATAATCTGCTGGATATCAAAGTAGTAGAATATGCCTGTCCTGTCCACAAGTCAGAGGTCACTGTGTCAGAAGAATCTATGGAAATTTTGAGAAAAGCGTAAGAGCGCTTGGGAGTGGAAAGATCCCTAACCTTGAGCTTCCAAAGTAGTCTTGCTTGACTGTGGATTTACAAATCTTGAAAGTACCTTATTGCTACTACTGAAGCATCGTTTGGGCAAGGGCCTCTAGCTTGAACTAGCAAAAGCATCTGTTAGGAGAAGCTTGAGGCATCAGAGTAACATTCTGATTTTGAGTTATTTTTTGGGTCATTTATAATCTGGCAGTGAGTATTGCAACACCATTTTCTTCTCCACTCAAAATAAGATACAGCTTCAATAACTTTTTTTTTTTTGCAATATATATTATTGGCAACAGTTCTACTGTGTATGCTAGCTTCAAAGAACTCTTGAGAAGCTGCAACAGCAGTTCATATCTGTTCACATGGCAAATAGTACCATCCAGTAGTAGTGGATTTGTAGAATGGAAATGCTTGGTGCTGAGGAGCTAGCGTCCACACGGTGCGCTTTTTGAGCAGTTTTATTTTTAGCCTAACTCTAGTCTGGTCCTGTGGACTAAATATTTATTAGTATGTGGAACTACTGTTTAACTGAACAGAAATCCAGTTTGTATGCTACAAGATACCTTTTAATGTTGTTTGAAGTGCAGTAGATAAAGATGCTGAGGACAGTTGCTTTGAAACTTGATTCCTAATTTGAACTAAAACACAGATATAGACACACGCTGTTTTCTCCAGTTGTCAGTCTCTATCATTCGTAATATACAAGGAGTACTTAATTTCCTTGTGAGATCTCACGTTCTCTTTCTAACTCTATTCCAAGTTGCATGGTATTAGCAAATAAAAACTCTCCTGTTGTGTGTATAACACAATCGTCCTGTTTAGTTTTTTGATTTGTGGAGTCAAAAATGGTCCTGACCAGACTCAAATGTGGTAAGAACTGGGGGCTTGAGGCTGGACGGATGCTGAGAGTCATAGACCTGACCCATTATTTTTCATTTTCTTTCTGTCTGCTAATTTGGTCTATAATTCATTACACGATAAGTTTTTGGTACATTCTAGCTCCGAGTATGTACTTTAAGATGCAGTGAAACAGTTAACTTAGTTCTTTTATTCTTCTTCATCTAACTAGATTATCAACATGGTCTTCTGGAAGGAATATATCTCTGAATCAGGCTATTTTCCAGACATTTGTGGTTCCAGCTTATTTCCAACTGAAACAGAGTTTAGAAGACTAATTAAAATAACCTTAAAGCATTGCATCTCTACCTTAAAATTTTGTTCTTTAATTGCTTTGAAATTAAAATGGCATTGCATACCTCTGGCTAACATAACATATTTCTATTCATTTGAATGCCTGCTTATTTTTTTGATGCAAAATCACAGAAGAATGGAACACTACGTGTCAGTCATTTTGAATTAGAGCTTGATCCTTTCTGTGTTGTTTCCACTTTTCCGTTTCCTCTAAGACAGTGATTGTATTCATTTTCTGTTGGTTACTATTGATTTAGTTATAAATGCTCACAGTATGTGGAGGTTTATTTGTTACAGGAATTTATCTTACAGTGAGGAAGGGAGCACAATGCAACTTCAACCAATGTCTTTGATCATACTGAGGAAAAGAATACATTTGTCAACTGAGAACAATAAGTAAAAACATGTAAAAGTGTGCTCAAATAGTAATACTCTGTTCTTGCAAGATAATTCGGTGTAGTCGGTGGCAGTAGATAAGACTCCCAAAGCTCATCAATGAAAATAAATACATAAAGTCACAGGTTTGAAAGCTTCAATATTAGTGCATTGCTGAATTCTCTTTAGGTGGTGAGAAGTAAGAGGAATTGGAGTTCATTAAAGAGGTAATGAAATTTAATGGCAGAATTACAACATAAAATTATGCGGTAAAGGTGGTGAAAATCTTTATGCCAATGCTGCACTCTCAGAGCTAGATGTTTGCTAGCAAGGTGAATTACAGCGTCTAATTGTAGGCAGATGGTTTGGCAATGGAAAGGAAAAATATGTTCACATCAAGTTTACTAGGAGTATCAAAAATACTGTGTTTCTGCCTCTCTGTCATGCTTGGGCAATACATGTTTATTCCTTTGTACATTTTGTGTTACTATATTTCTTCTTGACCAAATTAATTTGAAAACAACTAATTCAGACTTGGAGCTGAATTTCTTTTTGCATCCTTTTTTATGAATTTTGATCTATCGTACTATAAAAAAATTTCTGCAGCAGCATTTTCCTGGACCTGCTTTTTGGCAGGCTGTAAAACTCCTCCTCTATGACTGTGAAATTGCAGGATGAAGTACAGATGATCACTTAAATCATATCCTGTGAATTAAACTACTTGTACGTGTCACATTCTATTTCTGTTGAATAATAAAAAATTCAGATATGTTCCATTTCTATTAATTTAGTAGTGAAACTGAAGGTCTGTTGTGGTGTGTGGGGACATTCTATGTAATGCCACCCCCTAACCCCCTACTTTGAGAGTCTTTCAGAGAAAGAACAGCAGCAGGCAACTTTCATGTTTATCACGTCATCTCCCTTTGCGCTTCGAATACCTGAAGTGGTAATAATGAAGCATAGCACTGTACAGACAGTTGCTTAGAAATGCAAGGAAGATGTGTCTTCAGGAAACAGCATCATATTACTATGAATATGTTCTTCGTGTCACATTGTGCATTGTCTAGTAAAAATCTTGGGTATTTTCCCGCTTTAATTAATACTCTGCTGATGATGACGTATCTCCATTGAAGAAGTACGTTTTTTCTTCTTTCCAATATTTTAAGTATCACAAGACTCTTAAGGAGCAATCAGATAGTAATTGGCTGTTTGTAAAATGCTGTTATTGATAGCAGTCTAAGAGGTCATAATTTGGGACCATTTCCAACTCACAGTGAAGGGGAACATTGATGTAATAATAAGGAAAACAAAAAGCTTTCCTAATATGTAGGAAACCACCAAAGATCCACTTAATTACTTTCCTCAAAGATGTTAACTCTTGAGGTGAGGTGTAGGTCTCATTCATTAGTCTGCAAATATGTGAGGAAAATCGTGAATTTGCAGATTCATGTATGCACAGGCGGTTTGCTTTAAACAGATTTGTTCGGAATGTACCTACTACTCATCTGGTATCACTGAAACAGAGAAACAATGTATAAAAGTGAACAATTTTAAAATAAACATCCTCAGATTAAAAAGTATCTCTCTCAGCTGCATTTTCAAGAATACAAGGTACAAGAATATAGAGAGTTCCTGGCCTGGATCCAGGAATTTCTGGATCTGATTTGATGCTAGACTGCTGTTGTGATTGGGGAGACTAGAGACTATTTTTATTTCGATGTATAATCACAGTGGTTCCAGATTTTCTTTGATAAGTAACGTCCGTCCCTTGTCAGAACTAGTTACTGATGTGCAATTGAATCTTTAGAAATGTGTTATGACAGCCTCTTGCATTTGCTGCTCCATAATTTCATTGGCTACCACTAATACTAATCTTATGCAGAAATTTGAACAATTACTTTCTTTAATGCCTTAGACTTGAGTTACAAGAAATTCGGAGCAATGTATTTTCTGCGTTCAGTACCTAAATTGAAGTTTAGCCTGAATATAGGGCACACAGGCACAACAAAATGATGATGAACTACTTGATCCCTAGAGGGTTCACTGTCAGTTTTTTTTGGACGTAGATATTGTTGAGTTTGGCTGAATTTGTGGATTTATTCCATAGTCATAGATCCTGGCACCGGATTATCTTGATTTGGTTTATGTTTGTACGGTTATCAGCTGCAATCTCTGTTATAAGTCCTTGGGAGAACATTTGTGGTTCTGGCCTTTAAGGTAATTAAACCAAGGAAAACCTAATTAAGGAAACACTGGATCATTTGGTCTAGCCCGTAAAGCTCTTGTACCTGCTTACTGATACAGCCTGTGCAAAGAGTGATCTCTCTGTTGATAGCACCAGTTGTTTATCATTCTTGTCCATCTCTCTGCCACCTGTGTAATTCTCTGTCGGTATGCCTTCTGGCTTTAGCTTATTTTGGGAGGCGTCAGGAGTGTTGGTTTCTGTTTGAAGTCGCAGTATTTTAATTAGTCGTTGAATAACTAATTTGACTAGCTTGGTGAGCACATTTTTTTGGTTACATGAGTTTATTATTGTTATTATTGACTTAAGCGTACTTTCAATTAAGTGTTTACAGTTATTCTTTGGATGTTACCAACTAAATGGAACATTTACATTCAAGAGTCTGTTTAAAAGAAAAAATTAGTTGTTAGGTTCTGACTGTTCAGCCTGCATTGGCTTAATACTGAGTTTTATTTTGGTAGCAGGTAGGTGAAGACATTAGTGAGTCTTCTGGAAGTGGGCATTGGTTAGTTGGGGTATTGTTTTTCCTTTTAACATTTTTTAAATAATTCTTTGGTGGTATTACTAGGAAAAAAAATCATGCAGAGAGAATTGGCAAAGGAACTGTTTGACCTTCATGTGAATGTCTTCCTTATGTCTGTATTTTAGATGGGAAAGCATAAAAAATAATGTATTTTAACGATTTCTAAAATTAATATTGGGTTTGGATTGCATGGCTAGGTTATACAGAGCACTCTATATCACTGTGAAGTTTTGAGACTAGTTACTATTTAACAGCCAAATGCTCTATAATTCCTACACTTATTTGGATTGTCTGAAAAACTAATTTTCAAAAGTTTCCAGGAAGAGGTGAACCAGAAGTTAAGTTGATTTTAACATATAGCCACAGACACACACACACCCCTTGTCCATCCCCCCCAAAATGGCACATGGCCTATGTTCTATGGTGGTTTTTACTTGCTTTGCACTTGCTTACCCCATGCTCCTACACAGCATTCCTCTGACAGTTGCGATCCTCTCCTACTCCGTACAGCACTGGAAACAATGTCAACTAGTGCATCAATTCTTATCTCTTTATCACTTACTCAAAATAAACCTGGCTTTATATTGTGTGTTAATTTTGACTTCTCATACTGGGCAACATAATTCGCATATGCTTGGGTTCTGAAGTCAGCCTAAAAAGTTTGATACAGTAGAGTGATTTGTGAGGATGTACTCTTTGTAATTTTCATAGCATAGTCTGATTTTATTTTAGAAATATGGTCAAAAGAAAATAGTGTTAATTATGCAAAAGAAAGATAAGAAGCTAGTAGGTAGCAGCAGAAGGGAAATACAGTCATGCCGCATGCTGCTTTACTGGTTTGAACAGTAGCGACAGAAGGATCACAGGAAAGACTGGTTAGCTACAACCCTTATCAATGCCAGCATGTTTAAAGGGGTTGACTGACTATCAGGAAATGTGTTCACAATAGAGCCTTATTCTCAGGACTGATTTGTGGACAAATAGTGTTTTATGTACTGCCAAACTTTTTAAAAAAGAAAATAGAATGTGTGTGTGTTCTTGTCACATATTTGCCATCTCTGCAAAGAGGGAGCAAAGGTTGTTGAACAACTTTTGAATATAACTTATTTATTCTACAGCCGTTAGAAATTTAAGCAGTTAATATCTGGAGTGTGTGAATCACTGCTGTTGAATCTTAACTAGTTGTGTTTTATAAGTTTTTGGCAGCAAGTACTGAAACCTAGTCAGTATTAAATGTGTTGAGATTCAGGATAAAATTGCAATAACGCAAGTTAACACCAGTTTCTCTACAATCAGTAATACACCTTCATGAGTTAAAGTCTTGGTGCACATCACATTATTTTATTGTTGAATGTTGGGTTTATAGTACACAGCAATGGGACGCTTTGTGTGTTGATCTGTCAATGACATCCCTCATTAGTATAATTCTATGCTTAAACTTGTGTGAAATACAGCTGCTGAATAAGGCTCCAGTCCTTTAGTCCAGAGGCTTACACTGTATTCAAAATGTTTGGTGAGTAATTGGATCTTTGCATTTAGAAGGACTTATAAGTGCAACAAATAATTTTTCTAGTGTCATAGTGACACAGTGCTCCTCAAGAGTCGTTATGCAACTCAGGGTACTGGAGCAGCTTCTGTTTTATTAATTGATAATCTTTCTCCTGTGTTGCTGCATCTTTGCTCATTTCCTCTATGGTATGCTGAACCCAGTCAAATTCTCTTACGCATCTTTCCCTTTGCCACGTATGCTATATCATAGATGTGCTTCCACGAAAAGTTTGCCATTTAGAACAGTCACTGTCATGCTAATTCTCCATCTCTATTCCTTATCTTTTGTTGCTCTGGTAAGTCTATTAAATGCCATGTACAATGCATCAACAAAGGTGCAACAAAAAGGTAAAAGTTTTGAGAAAAATGTGTCCAGTTTAATATACGGAAATGCTTTTAATAAGTAGGCTGAGAAGTCCATGTATTTCATTATTACATACAACCTGTGACAAAAATATGTTTTTCGAGGTACCTAATACTAAGCTAGTATGCTTTTTTTACCTTACTAATGG